CTCCAAAATTAGGTAATGTTCAACGCTTTGGGGTAGGTGTGTTGTCATTATGATGCAGCCAGTCCCCTGACTTCTTTAATTTAAGTTATTTTATTCTCACCACCATCCTCCATCGTTTCAGTACCTGCAGATAGTAAGTTTGGTTCACTGTGGTGTCAAGAGAAACGAATTCCACATGAACCAATCCTTTGATGTTGAAAAACAAACTGTCGAGGATACGTTGCTTCTTTATGTTTGTCAGCACAACATCGTTGGGAGCTGTGGTTGTTTGTCATAAAAACTACTTGGCTAACTGAGTAGGAAGAGTGTCTGTTAAAGGTACCTTGTGACAGAGGACAGCACTACCAACCCACTTGCCTACAGGAAATAATTATAGTTTTTAGGTGTCCTCTCTTCCAGAGCCGTGCCGTCGTAGCCCATATGACAAGGAGATAAGACTATAAACCTCGAATGAGGCAGTACCGGGTTGGCCTATTGTTGAACTATGTCTGCCGAGATGACGGAAATGGTCAATATAGTATCCCTTGTATTTTTTAAATTGGCATTTCGCTTTGTTAAAAATAATCGACCGCGTTCGCTGGTCTTCCTGCGGCATGTTTTTATAAAAAAGACTGATTATACAACTGTATGGACAAAAATATTTTAAGTCTCCATAGAGAACGGGCGACCGACTGCCGGCCATAAGTTCATACTTAGATGTCTGCAGTCAGTCTCCTCTTATATTTTAAACTTTAGCGTTCGGACCACTGCCGGCTTTAAGAAGAGTCAGAAAAGCGATAAAGACAGTCGCACGCTACCTGTTTGATACACACAATTTTCTATCTCAGTATGCGCTCCTGGAGCACAAATTACGGTTATAGCTACTCCCGCGTATAAGAAACATCCAAATAGTAATTGGAATTGCAAATAAGACCTTCAATGTCAGCCAGGCTTTGGGTAGACTGCCACACAGTCTGTGATTGCCGCACGATATGTACTTACAACGTGGAATCAAAACCAATTACCAAACCGACACAGATGACACTGGTAATGTAACATCCGAAGCCAACTGAAGGATGTAGTAAGCCGGTGATAATCACCAATGAAACATCTCACGCCTGTAGACACGATCCAGATAGGCCTCTGGTATATGAGAGTGAAGTATATCCAGCATGAATTTAACGCGTAATGTTCTTGTCAAATCAGCTTTGAAACTAAGGTTACATGCTTATAATTAGTACATATGTGTACACCGATCAAATTCTTATAATTGTGGCCTGGAAGTACGTCAGCTGACGAGATAACTCACTCCTGCTGACCGTCGTGTTTGTCTGACCCCAGTACCACCTCTCTGTTACGTCCTACATACAAGCCTCTATTTACGTGAGCTCTGAGTCCTTACCCAGGGAAGCCTGAGACGCGAAGGGATTAGCAACCGGGCCGTGTGTGGCGCGTGAAGACGGGCCGCATACCGATGCTTGCCTCTATGCACACCCATTCCCAGCTGCTTTGAAACTTCGCCTTTCCATCGGAAAGTTGTGCGTGGGGGAGGGGGAGGGAGCGAGGTTGATGCAGCACGGGCCTGCTTTACCATAACAAAATTCCCGTGTAAGTCACAACTGCGCCCACCTCGTGGACATAGATGAATTTTGGCGCTTGCGAGCGTTGGACTAGTCGTTGTGCGTGTGCATGTTTACGCATATCTGAGCGCCTCGGAGAAGGCTTGTTAACGCACAGCACACAAAAACCCCTAAACATGCACCAACGACCGAATGCTTGCCATGTGTGCGCCCTTCGCGCCGCCCACAGGCACAATCATAGGTAGTCTGGATGATAGATGT